TACATACTCTAAAGTTCGTAAAATTAAATGTGTACATGTCCCAAGACTTTAATCGATCAAATGACATAAGAAATGAACATTGTGAGATAGATTTTGATCTGATATGACCAAACTTATTATTATGCTATCAGAATTGATGACATTACCTAATTTGTGAACATCTCTACACTTGGTGATGGAACAAATATCTAAGTGATTCCATCCATCAAACATATCTCAATGGCATCACAACTCAATAGTAACTTGAATTGGTGCATTTTTTTTTCTTCTTGGATAGAGACTAAGATGCCTCTGTTACATGTAGAATTAGAACAACCTCTAGCAAATATCTTGAAACATATGAACATTGCAAGTAAAGTGCAGGATAAAGCAAGTCACGTCAAAAGAATACATGACTTGTTTTAGTTCCAGCTGCTTACCAAGATATATATCATTAGCCATGCAGTTTTTGATCTTATTACGATATAGAATTAGACATCCATACAAGTACATGCATCATCAAATCCTCCAAGTAACACTGGTGACAAACTTAACAACATGAATAATCGAACAGTTCAGTAACAAAGGCAGAATAAAAAGTGATGCAGTTATGATAATTCTGAAGCTAAGGAGAAAATTATGCAGAAGGACCCATTTATAACCATAACCAGAAGGGCAAATGTATCGGTTTTCATTTGAAAAAAAAAAAAAATTAGAACCTCCGATCACTCGAGAGCATAGCTGTGCCGAAGTTCACTATTTTAAGAATAATTCCAGATGTCCGAACATGCTAAATATAAAATTCATCAAGCTTAAAAAAATGGCAATGTAGGCATGAAGCAAAGACAACTTCACTTTATAACTGATTTGTCGATGAGAATATGTTATGGGGATGCCATACTCTATTAATCTATGTTGATTTCAAAGATCCAGATGATAAATTGAATCAATAAGAGTCAGAAAAAAATAATCTGTAGAAGCAAATGTTCTTTAATTGGAAAAGGAACGTATCTGATAATCTGTGCCATACAGGAAACCTTAGATGAGGCCCAATTACTTCTGCTTATGATGACCACCGAATAGTTGGACCCAAGTTCATTATGTCGAAGTGTTCGATGACTTACTTTGAGAATGCTTATGGGTAAACTGAGAATGCTGGATTGACAAATAGAACTCAAATAATCCAGGGAAAACCAACACTTAAGTAAATCAAAAGCTTGTAGATTCTCCAATTTGAAAACCTTAACACCATGACACATAAACACAGAAAAGGAAATATATGTGACGGCAATAAGTTCACGGCTATGCATGAATTAGAGGATATTTGGAGGTGATACTGACTACTTAAGCAAGCATCCTAAATTATCACAGAAAAGTCTCGACAGAATAGAAAAGAGAAAAGGTACAGCATGAGAGAAAAAGGTTCAAACGAAAAACCAACTACTATATGTTCATTGTCCATAGTGAATGATCTAGTTATTTCCATACAATGGTCAGCCATACATAATATAATAGCCCCACCATCATGCAAGCAGCAGACCGAACATGATGAGAAATGCTACATAGGTAACCCATCAGATAGACAAGAATAAGAATAAGTGACATGTGGGAGTCCTAAGGTACCACGGAACTTCCTGAAATCAGACATCTTTGCGAAAGAGATGCTTCAAGATATTAATAGCTAAAAGCTTAAACAATGGAGTAAAGCCAAATTCAAATGTGCACCTTCATTCAATTATATCTTGATTCAATGATAAAATAGGCTGTAATTAACAAGATATCTACAAAATTTCTAAAATTAGCAAGGTTCCAGTGGAAGTGGCAAAAGATGTCATTCGCCAAAAACTTATAAGAAAGAGATGAAGATGAGAACTAAAGAATCGATTGCCTTGGCACGATAAAGCTTTATATGATTATTAAGGTGGCATAACAATGGCACATACATGTCATATCATTAGGGGATCATTGCCTTGGAAAGCCATGGTCTCATTTAATCACTGAGAGTGGCGCTCAGGCATCAAAATTGCTAGGGTTTGGTGCCTTGCACGTGTGCACAATTGTAACAGACAGATGCCTCACCAGTATGTGCAGGTCAGATGGCCAATACATGATTTGGAGTTCTTGTTGTTCGATGATCTTCTTTCACATTTAAACCAATCAAACATGTGATACATGTGACATGATACCTTGTGCCTAAGGACATTCTGTTTAATGTACTTAACTTCCAGAGTTTGTCAACAATATGTGTATGAATGGTAAATTTGTTAGGCTCCACAAGGACATAAGAACCCAGTGGCAGTTATAGATTATAATTCATGATGTTTGTATCAAGGATTAGCATGCCACATACCATGCCCATGCCCATTGAATGATAACTTGATTGTGTTAGTGCACAAAATACAGCTATACTAGCATGATACACAAAATACAGCTATACTAGCATGATACTCAGGTAGGTGCATATTGAGTACATATAATTTGCAAGTTTTTATATAACCCTAAATATAAATCCAAAGAACACAGTACCAATTCAATTAGCTTATAGTTAATCATATATTAAATGGTATCAATAGATGAAATGGGCCTAATCATGATATTAACATGTCAATATGTTCCATATTGCAGCAACCACAACCAAGTAGCATTTTTTGCAAAAAGGTATGAAAGCACAACCATACTACAATGCCATCTAAAGTGACATGCCCGTAAAGAGAAAATATATATATCAAAAAGTGATTGCAGATTGGCCACAGTCCTGCCTCATTCTAAAAACCATGTCAGATATGATTCTAATTTTCTATTCAGGATTTTGTGTAGTAATGAAAATAGGGCATAGGTCGGTCAACTTCAACCAAAATTTAATTTTATCATAATAATAACTTTAATAGGCCTACCCCAATAGTTAATACATGTTATATACAGTAATGAATCTGATCAAACAGGAAACTAAATCAATAATACCTCACCTGTCTAATAAAAAGAACAAAGAAAAGAAAATGAAGAGGAAGACACATATTATAAGGGTTATCATGGTCCTGCAAGAATAGAAACAAAATGATCCATTTTATTTAAAGGTCCAGGCCCATGCAGCATGCCAGTCCCTGGTTTTCTAATAGCTTATAAACTTTCCATGCAGTTTAAAAGATTACAGAAATTTGAAGTTAGACATGTTCATTTCAGGAGAATTTACCTGTCCAGGAACACACATGATTAACTTCATTTATAAACATATATGCGATGTAAGTGATTCTCCCATTTTTGTAACCAAGTTATGCGTCAACCTGGCCCACATGCTTTTGGCCCCATTATTGATCATCTTTACTTCACTTTAAAACTACATAACAGTTTGTGTCCACCAAAAATAGTACTTTAAAACTATGACAAACATTTTCCAACAATCATTTTCTATTCGTGGTTTTTGTTGTTCCTTTTCTGAAACAAAAAAGCAATTGGACAAGGCTAGGACAAAGTCATCCAACAAATCCCACACTAATCACTTTAAGCAACTTCATTGTTCTCGGTTCCATCTTTTTGCCTCTTACATCAAACTCAAAACACAAGTATTATTACAAATTTATAATTGATTAAGCCCCATAAAAAAAATTGAGTGGACAACACCGTCCCTTTGCAACGACCTTCAACATAGAACAGATCTCAAGATTCACATCTAGGTTTTTCCTCTCACATACAAATTATACCTGTTTAGTTACGAATAGAGCCCATCAGAACTTTCTTATTATGATTGATTCCACATAAAAGATGAATTGTCCATCTCTAGTCACAAGCTACTTCTCATTTTAAATTAAGATATTATCAAGTAAGTCTATTGCTTACTATTGAAAAAGAATGTAAATTTGGTAATATTAATACGTATGTGCATTTGCAGAAGAGAGCTCAGAGACACAGCTCATGCCCTTGAGATTCATGAACTTGTATATCTTCTGATGAAAGTAAACCTCAAGTCAGGGATATGTATGTCAAAACCAAGAGAGTTAAGATAAACAGCCCATGCCCTTGAGATTCATTAACTCGTAGAGCTCCTGATGCAAGTAAAACTCAATTCGGATACATGTAAGTCAAAACCAAATAATGCTTATGCATTGTACAACACTTGTGATAGTCCAAGTATTAATGACTTCATTCCACGCCCAAAACATTTAATTATTCAAGAACTAGCCTAGACCAAATTGGGTGAAGGAACAACATCTACTTAATTAAACAATAACATCAAGTGTTTGGCAAAATCATCATGTCACGGAGTCAGCACATCATCAAAGGAACTCATTCAAAGTTACAAGTACAGAAGTAACATGTCATTCTTCGATATATTTGCGTCAAATTGTACGAAGATTATATACTCATTAAATATGCTTTCTCCTTCATGTACATGATAAATGTACACACCGAGTGAGGAAAGAAAATAACTCCTTTTGATATCTAGAATACAATATAGCATACCTGACACGGGGAAGTATGTAATTTCTTAGCAAATGGTATGTATTAAAAGGTGGAAAAGTGCATAAAGCTTCCATTGATCAAGGGTCTGGAACAGTCTATAATCTAGCATTATGCTCCTAGCAATTCAAGTGCAACTAACTAAAATAACTAAGAATAAACAAGAAGGGCCTATGGGGAGAATAGTTTCTACGGTTTCGTTGCAGCTTCACTACTCCACTATTCAAGGTTCAATTTATCACTTAATGACCCATAAGAGTATAAGAATCACTTTATGTTTGAGTATTCTCATTGTTATCTCCAGTAGAGAAAGAAAGCATCAAGCTACGGTGATCAAGAAGAGAAGAAAACCAAGATCCGTGTCTAATTATTGGGTTCAAAAATTAGATTGTCATGAGATGTTTTTTTAACATAATTCGAAGGCAAAAGATATACCCACACTGCTCAACCTCTGTTCTAGATTCTTAGAAAATGAGAAATAACTCAATATAACTATGAAACCCTGCAAGGCCTACCTTTCAGAACGCCACCGTTCCATCTTCCGAGGAACATCTCCAAGCATGAAACAAAAAAGTTGAAGCATGGAGAAAATAGAGTTTTTTGCTCACAATAATCACCATCTGGTCAGATGATATACAACTTAATGCACCTTATAGTCAAAGGGAACCAGCAGCAGACCCCGAAGCTCCATGATCACACTGCCCAACTGCAATTTTCAGAGTCCCATAACGTCTTTGATTTAGTTTACAGCATAACCTTCTAGGCACCTGTACAGGAAAGAGAAAACAATCAACAATTTCAAGAAATGGTATATATCATTAGTCAAGGCCTAAAAGAAGCGCAATCAGAACTGGGAAACAAACCAAGTGCCAATTTTCGCTCAATGGAGTACCAAAGACTTGGATTTCATTCATGTCAGGTAGAGGAGGTGTTCGAGGAAAGCAGAATACTTTTTTTTTTAGATTGTCTCTCCCCTTAACTCGTCTATATGAACCCAGCGTAGTATTTCCATCCCTTTCAATATCTCTCAAGAAAAACAGAACTGGCTTCTTGCAAACAGACCTGTAGGTATCCCTTGTGTCAAAATCAAACTCATTCCTGTTGTTAAGCTTATTCCAAGCTATATAAGTCTGTTCAGAACGTTCCAGCTCTCGTGGAAGGACAATGGTTGGGAACACTTGGACAACGTAACCCAGAGAGACTGAGAATGTAAGCTTCCTCCTCTTGTCGTAACAAATTGACCGCTGCAAGAAACTCATAGGATCAGCCTTCATAGCCTTGGTGAAACGCTTCAGGCTTCCAAGAGTGCTCAAGCCAGGGTAGATGGGGTCAACGGCTTCAACATGGTGAATTGATACGAAAGGAGCAACAGGGTGAGCAGCCAAAAGACCATGGGCATTTCCCCTGATATCCCACTGAGACAACAACAGAAAGAAAAATAGAAATTGTGACATTGAACAGAATTAAAATGACATCAAAGCGGTAGAACTCATCACGCAATCATTCATATCAATCTTCATTACATAAGAGTATCAGCGAGTTGGTCAATTATGTGAAGAAAATTGGCCTCTGTATTAAATTTTAAAAGATGCAGAGCTCTAAAAATTGGAAGAGTAGAAACTTTTTATCATGAAATCAGTAACAATTTATTGATTCACCAAAAACATGGTAGAAAAAATTTAAAGCAAGAATAGGACAGTTGGCTACTACCATCAATTATGGATTCTGAAGAGGGACTCGCGAGCTCGGAGATGCATGCATGCAATAATGTATGTTGAATGAGCAAAAGGATTAGATACACGATAGAGATTTACCAACAAGTACACACACCTGGTGGAAACCGTACTCGCGACTCAGAGGGACACCGAGCTCGGAGATGCATGCATGCAACCGGTCGTCGCTGCCGTACAGCTTTGGATACCTCTCGATGCACTCGTCCATCATCCCCGCGAGAGCTACGGCAAGAGGATAGCTGATGGCGATCCCCCCGCCCCCGAATGCCATCGCGTGGCTGAAGTAGGTGTTGGCGGAGTGACTTTCCGATGGGCTCCCGACATACGCCATCTCGGTCCAATCGTACTTGGCGAGCACGGCGACGAGGTTATCAGGGCAGACGATGGTGTCGTCGTCCACGAGCACAAACCACCGGGAGCCGCGGTGGCCGAGTCGGAAGGTCTCGGAGAGGATGCGGGCGATGCGGAGGCCGGAGGGGTGGCCGGTGGGGTTGGTGTATCGGAACCGAGAGATGTCCTCAGAGACGCGGACGGGGGGGAGGGATCGGGCGAGGGAGGAGTTGCGGGGCGGGCGGGGCACGCGGTCGTCGAGCCAGACGTGGCCGCGCATGGCGCCGGGCCGCCACCAGAGTCGGACGAACTCGCGGCGGCGCGGCCAGAGGTGAGCGGAGCCGCCGATGCCGAAGACGAGGTGGCGGAGGGAGAGCGGGCGGAGGCGGTTGGGAGGGCCAGTAGGGGGAGGGACTCGAGTGGAGGGGCCGGGCAGCGGGGGAGGAGAGGCCCGGCGGAAGGGGGAGGCGGAGGTCCGGATGTGGGCCCAGTGGAGGCGGATAGAGGGAGAGGAGAAGACGAGGGAGAGCCAGGCGGAGGTGGCGAGGAGGAGGGCGACGACGGCAGCGGCGGATGCGGCGGCGCTTCCTCGGCGTTGGGTGCAGGGAAGGCAGTGGCGATGCGTGGAGGAGCAGGCGACGGGTGCGGGGATGCTCGCGCTCGTCGTCGTCGTCGTCGTCGTCGTCGTCATCGGCGGCGGTGGCAACGGTCATTGGCTCGAGGAAAAGACAGGGTTATGATGGGGGCAGAGGAGGGGGCAAAAATTGGAAGGAAACCAAACCAACAGAGCGAGTGTGTGTGTGTGTGAGAGACGGAGAGGGGTGTGTCGCTCAACGTGTGTTCAAATTTCAAACGGGTCGTTCTTGGACGTCGCTTCGGGGTATGGGCCCTACAGAATCTGAGAGCTGGGCAAGGGTGCAAAAGTGGGTGTGTCGGTTGCGGCGTGGCTGCTCAGGACAGCGTCGTGCCATCGCCCCTTGCTCGTTGCTTGCAGGACGGGGCGGTCGATTCCGTTACTTCATGGAGAATAAGCTGACGTGATCCGAGTTGTTATGTTAGGTTAACCCGAAATCGAAAAGCTCGTCCACGTCAGAGATTTGACCCGTGGCATCGGATCGAATCGGACCCAATTCGAACTTGCATTCGGATCACACGGTCCCATCTTGCTGCCTCTACAGTTACCAATCATCCATTGTTTTTCCCTCTTTTTCTCATCAGTTCATTGTGTAGTTCTATTATCTCAGATCCTTGCCAGGTTATTGTTCTTTTGTACACCGTTAAAGTCCGTTAATCCAGAATTTATAGATTATTTTGCCACAATTATGGCGTTATTTCCGAGAATTATTGACATGTAATGGCGAGAAGAACTTTAGCGTGTTATGTAACGGTTCTTTATTACTCTTGCAGATAAATGAATTTGTAATAATAATTCCTACCGTATTTGTTCCCGTAACATGTTTTCTTTGGATCCTGTGTTTTAGGAACTCGGACGGTGATAGCGGTGTCACATGGATCATTGGGGATTGAGCCACTCGTCGCAGGCATTCAATTCAGAAGGACAATAGGATGCGGTGCATACGCAGATAAAACGCAGCTTATATTTTATTCAGTCAAGTTAAAAAGTAGCTACACGGAGCGCACTACACGGTGGTCGTGTGGAAACCGTCATCACACACACAGCTCGCAATACGTTTAGAGTAGAAGGGCCGGTTGCTGCTTGTGGGAGGAGGGAGGGGGGTGGAGGAGCGCGAGGGCCCTCTCGAACTGGCTCCACCTCTGCTCCAGCGTGCCGCTGTAGCCCACGGACAAACGGACGAGGCCGGGAGAGATGCCGGCCCGGGTCTTCTCCTCGGGGCTCATCTCGCTGCTGGTGCTGCTGCCGGAGCAGGACATGAGGGTCTCGTAGTATCCCAAGCTGACGGCCATGAGGCCGAACTGGGTGGTGTTCTGGAGGTGGTGCATCAGCTTGTTGGCCCGCTCCTCGGTGCCCATGTCCACGCAGAGCATGCCGCCGAAGCCGTATCCGGGGTTGGAGATCGAGGCGAGCAGGTCGTGGTGGGGGTGGTCGTCCAGCCCCGGGTAGATAACCTTGAGCCCCGCCTTCCTCATCCGGGTGGCGTACTCCAGCGCGCGGTGACAGTGCTCCTTCATCCGCAGCGACAGGTGCGGCAGCCGCTCCGAGATCTCGAACGCCACCTTGGCGTTCATGGTCGGCCCCAGCAGCATAAGGGCCCCCTGGTGCAGGTCCATCATCGAGTTCACCAGGCTCGCCGGTCCGCAGATCGCACCTGAAATGAAATTGCAGCTTCAGACCCGGTTCACAAAACAGACATGACGAGCAGTCGTCCTGTCAACGTCCACGTAGCTTTGCTCAGCCTACATGGACCGTCCGCCAGGGATGAGGACAACTCGCGTCCAGCCAAACGCACTCGGGACACGTGCAAAGGTGGGACACGTCCACCGATTCACATGAGTCACGAGCACTGGACGCAATGTGTACACGTACCACCTACTTCGAGGGAGGTCCCTTCGCCCATGCCGTCATCCCATCTTCTCTTTTTTTACGAATATTCGATCAAATTTATTTTTTATTATTTATTTCTTATTTAAAAATGCAAGAATTTTGTGTATCCGAACATATGGGAATATATATATATATATATATATATATATATATATATATATATATATATATATATATAATTCCTTGTAACCGTCACTAAAACTCCTATAGAAGCGGTGTGCAATATTGCGATGAATAATAACAAAAGTAACTGATCCAACAGCTGGAAAAGAGAAGGGATCGGCGGGGGGCGGTTACCTGCGATGATGTCAGCGCCACCGCTGATGAACTTGGAGACGCTGTGGACGACGACGTCGGCACCGAGCCTCGCAGGCGACACGACCATGGGAGCGAAGGTGTTGTCCACGACCAGCATCGTTCCCTTCTCCCTCGCAATCGCGCTCAGCCGCGGCACATCGGCCACGGCCAGCGTCGGATTGGCCACGGTCTCGACGTACAGGACCTTGGTTTCCCCTTCCTTAACCGCCGCCCTCACCGCGTCGAGGTCGTCGATGTCGACGAAGGTGGTGCGGATTCCGCAGGACCGGGGGAGGAAGTGCGAGAGGAGGGCGTGGGTGCCGCCGTAGAGGCATCGGGAGGCAACCACGTGACCGCCGGCGCCGCAGATCTGGATGAGGACGGATGAGATGGCGGACATACCGCTGGCGGTGCAGTAGGCGGCCTCGGTGCCCTCGACGGCGGCCATCTGGCGGCCGAGGTTGAGGACGGTTGGGTTGAAGTGCCGGCTGTAGATGTAGAAGTCGCGGTCGGGTCCGAGCTCACCCGAGAACATGCGCCGCATGGTCTCCGCCTCCATCACAGTGAACGTCGCCGACGCCTCGATCGACATGTTCACCCCGCCGTGCTCACCGAACTCGTGACGCGCGTTCGCCAGGGCCACAGCGGGGTCTCCGCCCCCGCTGCCACGGGCCTTCTTGGCGGCTGGTGCCACCGCCCACTTTTTGTCGGACCCACCGTCCTTGTCCTCGTCACGGCTAGTGCTCTTGGGGTTCGAGAAGGCCGGCGATGGGATCGTCTCCGCCATTATTCCTCTTCTCTCCTAATTCCTCGGGGATTTTGGTGGATGAGCCGACGAGGACGACGAAGGGGATAATTATAGAAGAACCGCGTTAAGATGCTCCGCGGAGGAACTCCAGTTAGGTATACCAGACGAATGAATGAGACGGGACTGACTACGCAAACGCAGGAGCGTCCAATGAATCGGGTCACGTTTCGTGAGAGCGGAGAGGAGGAGAGGTCAAGAAAGCAAGCCCTAGACGGGGCCGGCGGAAACGAGAGGCTCAAAGCCCTGTCACTTGTTCGAGGTGCCGTATGTCATTTGCGAAACGTAGATGCATTCATTATCATTATCTTTATTATTATTATTATTATTATTATTGATAAGAGGACGCGAAACATGTGCTTCGCAAGGGGAGGACATGTCTTCTTCGAACAGCTCGCGTGGTGTCACCGGATGCATCCTGAAGGCTCGAGAAGGACCCACGGAGTGAACCCTATGGTTCGAGAAGGAATCTCGATTGGCATTAAAGGTTAGATTGACAGCATCTTATTATTATCTTTATAGATACGATCATAGTGGCTAGAAATAGATGGAAATATAGTCGGGTGAAGATAGTAAGTAATACGAGAGGATGGATAACCCCTTTGGAAAGGAATGAGAAAGGAAACCGCCTTCTTTGCTTATTAATATGAGTCCCGATAAGAGCGCGCCTCTTGTGGCACTCGACATGTTTGCGTCTGTGATAGGGGAAGAAAAATGGCACGAGGCAGAAAAGGTGATCCAACGTCGTCATCTACGAAAGCTAAGCCTCGACTTACATTATGTATTATGGTGCACGGACTCGTTGACTGAGTCAAAAGAGGACAATAAATTATTTTAGTATAACAAAATATAAAAATTCTGAAGAGCTTCTTTTAATATTTAAATTTATTATGATTCAATAATAGTTAATCGATGAGATAAAGAGAGAAAGGGGGGATGGTAACTTTTTTTGTGGAATCGTAGGCGTTGGAGGTGATGCTTATCCGATTCCCGGAGTCGTAGAGGAAGCTTCCACTGGAGTCGCTGTGCTCAAGTCTTCGTCGCCCCGGTGCTGTGAAATTTCTGGAGTCGCTGTGTTCAAGTCTTCGTCGCCGCGGTTGCCTTATCAATACACTTTTTTGAGCCACTTGTGGGGGTCTTTCTAAGAAGAAGAAAAGACATTGATTTATTATTATTTTTATTATTATTATTATTATTATTATTATTATTATTATTATTATTATTATTATTTTATATATATATATATATATATCTACTGTGATGCATTAATATGTAGTTGGAGAAAGAGACGTGAATGAATGCCCGATTATGAAATACTCTAAGGATTTAGAAAATAAAAAAATTATATTTTAAATATATGTGGATGTAAGTTTTGTTTAGTAAAATTATATTTTAAAAGTCTATTGAATGTGCAATTATGGAATGCTTTGAGTGTTGGATAAATAAGAAAACTATATTTTAAATACGTATTGACATAAATTTTTTGATAAAATTATATTTTAAAAATATATTATAGATTTTCATGATAAATTTATTCTTCTAGTATTTTTTATATTTATTCAAACATGACGTACGTGTTGATCCACTGTGAGGCATTAAAGTATCAGTAAGGTTATGCTTGGAAATATATTTATATTTTTAATATATAGTTGGAGAAAGAGGCTTGAATGAATATGTCATTATAGAATAGTTTGAGTATTTGATAAATAAAAAATTATATATATATATATATATGTAAATTTTGTTTGGTAAAATTATATTTCAAAAGTCTATTGAGTGTGCAATTATAGAGTACTTTGGATTGTTTGATAAATAAGAAAACTATATTGAGTGTGTAGTTATGAAATGTTTGAAGTGTTTGATAAATAAGAAACATTGTCGTTTATATATGCATTGACGTAAATTTTATTTGATGAAAATATATTTCAAAAATATCTTGAATATTTTTGTGATAAATGTATTCTTCTAATATTTATTCAAGAGTAAATATATATTTATTTAAATTAAAAAAGTAAAGAAAAAATATATATAATCTTATAAAAAATTTCATATGACATAGGTATATAACAAATACAAAATATAATTATATAATCATGATGAATCTCGAATTTTGATGCTAAAACCAATTGTTAATGTTTATGATTTGTTTTGTATTTTGAGTGACGTAAGAAGCTTTGATCGAGAAGAGAC